TTTGACTTTGTATGTGGCGCGCTCAGTCCTCTACACAGGGGAAGCAGCCATCCATCATTAGTGGGCTTTGCTCATAAGACACGAAAGCACGGTTGGAGTGTTCGCTGTCGTCGACTTTTTTGACGGTGAGAGTCCGAAGTTAACGAAGCTGCGCAGTCACCGAGAATCGGTCAGAACTCGTGCAGGTCGCTAGTGAAGCCCGCTCCTTGCAATAGGTATGTTCCAAAACGTTGGCTCCCAATACGCCGGAATCGCGGCATAAATCCAGAAACAATTTGCCAGCAATAGGGGCCCTATAGGTTATGTCGGGACATAACCTGATTGCTTCAGCCGAAGAAGAAAATGAGTTGCATCGCCAGCCTCTTTGCTGCAGATGAATTGCGTTAGGCAGCCCAAACAGATCAAATTTAATTTTTGTGGAACCTATGGTTTGTCTATGTTTGTTTTGTAAAACCACCATCCGGAAGGGCCTTCCTGAAACTTCGGCGTTGGTGCGCCCTTTGGCACCACCACCGCGGCCGCACCACCGTCGCCGCCGCCGCCGCCCTCACTACCGCCGCCGCCATGACCACAAACCACAAGCGCGGACCACGGACCACGACCGCCACCACCACCACCACCACCCCACCACCGCCGCCGCCTCGTCCGCCACCGCCGCCGCCGCCCGCGCCCCCGGCCCCACCGCCACCGCCCCGCCGCCGCCACCTCCATCGCCACCGCCACCACCACCGCCACCAGCATAACAATGACTACTCGTACACACCCTCAAAGGCAAGGATCGAACCACTAGATGGTAATTTGTGGATCTATGTCTAGGGATCTCATTTATTAGGTTTTGGGGTTTAGGGTATAGAGCTGGAACCAGAGAGCCTAAACCCAAACACCGCAGAGATTGAAAGGTTCAAGGACTCTCAGTTTTTGTTTGGCATCCCTCTTGCGGAGCATGGCTTTCCGCACGGCGTGCCTGCTCTTGGTGACCACGACCGCAGCGGTCCCAGATGTGTCTTGGTTGCTATTAGTTTTGGGTTCCGGGTTTATAGGGTTCAGGGGTTATGGTTTAGGGTTTATAGGGTGTAGGGTTTACAGGGTTTAGGGTTTATTGGGTGTAGGGTTTATAGGGTTTGTGGTTTGGAGGGTTTAGGGTCTTGCTGTTAATTAGTATCTTAAGCTCAGCTATCATACTAGGTTCCCTTTATGTAGTAGGGATTAGGATTAAGTTGAGATAGCATGGAGATGTAAGCTCCATACTTAGGTACCCCGTGTCCATGTGATTTTCACATCTTGTCCACTTTACTCCCCATTTATGCTCCTACACTAGCCCTAAACCCTACATGAGCTATAATCTAAACTCCTTGAAGGGGGCCAATAGGGGATTATATCGGGCTTATTAAGGGGGATACTAGGAGTTTAGACTATGGCTCACATGAATCTAAGCATATGTTCAGCAAGCCAGGTGTCCGCTGAAGACTGGTGCGCCTGGATCCCGCTGAAGGCCCCCCGTCCACGGGAATGGGTTATTGGGACTATAACAGGAGCTAATGTCAGCTCTAAACTCTGAACCCCTAAACCCTCAGTTCAGGGTTCCGGATTTAGGTTTTGGATTTAGAATTTAGGGTTTATAAGTAGGACTCCTATAGAGATCCATTCCTTTCATTCCCTGCGCCCCTTCCCCCATGAAGGCCTTGTCGTACGTGCCGGCCTGCAACAGCACAAACGCCAGCCATGTCCCGACCACCAAGGAGGGGAAGGGTTTAGTTAGTACTTAGACAAATTAGTCCCCCTCTTCCAACTGAATAACAAGACCCCCGACCTCTTGAAGGGATGTATGGGGGAATGGCGGCTACGATAGTTTTTAGGGTTTAGCGTTAAGGGGTAGCATCAAAACCTCCCGCCACCCGGATACGAAAAATTCCTACTGGGGTAAACGACGAACATTCCGGAACATAAGCAATACGGGGGTGTTGTGTGTGTTTTGAAAGCTTGGGAAGGGGATTGCGCGGTTCAGGGTTTACGGTTTAGGTTACATGGCCCGCTGGGGTAAACTACAAACGTTTCGGCAAATTAACGATAAGGGTGCGGTGTGTGTGTGTGTGTTTAAAAACTAGGGGGAGGGGATTGCACAGTTTAGGGTTTACAGTTTAGGTTGCATGGCACGTTATAGCGACCTCCCTACCTTATCCAAACAGTGGTTTGGGCAAGATTTCAGCATCCGTACAAATGGACTGCCAAGGGCTGTGCCACTTGGTGCCCATGGGTCCCGAAGCCAGCATGGAAGGAAGTCCCTGATTGTGGCGTATCTTGCCTGTCGAGTGGGTAACTTTCAACTTGTTTGGCTAATATAAGAAGCACAAGAACAAACGTGCTTTAGGGTTTCGGGTGATGAAAAGCCTTAGATTTTAGACAGCTAAACCTCAGGGTTCAAGTACCCAAATATTGGGGCTTGAGGTTCCAAATGCTACTTAGTATTCTCATATTTGGGCCTAGGGCCCCATTATTTGGGCACTCGGATCCTTTGGGGTAGGACCTTTTAACACCCCAAACCCCCAAACTCCAAGGTATGCACTACAGGCCCAGCCCAAGCGGGTGCTGATCTGGAGCCCGAGCCCGAGATCCCGAGCTCCCGGCTAAAGGTGAAGGTAGCTTTGCCGGATTGGTGCGGCTACGTCCCCTTGGGGAGCCGGCGATATGTGAAGGACTTTGGTCCCCGGTTCAGGGTTTAGGGTTTAGGGTTGAGGGTTTAGGGTTGAGGGTTTAGGGTTGAGGGTTTGGGGTTTAGGGTTTAGGGTAATTTCGTAGGTTTATAGTCCCCCAGAAAAACCCCCAGGTAACCCTAAATCCTAAATCCTTTTGGCTTAAACCTTTTTAACCCTAAACCTTCATCCAGGACTGTGGCGGGAAGCAGGTGCCGGACTTCGGTTCAAAGAGTGGACTGGGCTGCGTCAGCTGGTGCCAGTGGGTGCCATTGCCGTCCTGGGTGTCTTACCTGTCCAGTCAGTGACTTTTAGGGCCTAGGGGTTTAGGGGATGAGGATTTTAGGGGTTAGGGTTTTAGGGGTGTTGGGTCTAGGGCCGTATCCTTGCTCCAAGCCCTAAGCCTTAATGCCCAGGCCCTAAATCCGCAATCCCTAAGCCCCAGATCCCTTAATCCTGAAATCCCTAGACCCTGAGTGCTTGAATCTGTAAGAACCTTGACATCCCTAATCCCTAACTCCTAAACCCGTAGACCCTAGATCCCCAGACCCTAAATCCCTAAACCCCAAATCCCTAAGTTTTTAGACCCTAAACGCTTTAGTCCCTAAACCCTAAAGCTCTGAAAGCCTAAGCCCTTAAACCCCTAGATGCCTAAACCATAATCCCCAAACCTAAGATCCCTAAACCGTAAAACTCTAATCCCGAAACCCTAATCCCTATAAACCCTAACACCCTAATCCTTAAGCCCTAACCCCTAAACCCTAAGTTCCTAAACCCCCAAGTCCCTAAACCCCCAACCCCTAGACCCTAAATCCCAAGGTTCATATAAACCCTAAACCCCTAAACCTCCGAAACTCTCAACCCTAAATCCCTAAACCCCTAACCTCTAAACCCCTAAATCCCAAGAGGTCTATACTCCGGCCTGTCGAAGTTGCGTCGGCCCTGCCACCGGCCCTGCCCCGGGCCCGGTAGCTGGGTTGCTGCTATTTGAGCTATAGTCTGAACTCCTTAAAGGGTGGATATATGGGGGATTGTGTAGGGGACTACTATAAGGGTTATTAAGGGGGATACGAGGAGTTTAGACTATGACTCATTTTGGGTTTAGAGACTTTGGGGGATTAGGGGGTTTTTGGGGTTCAAGGGTTGAGGGTGGGGAGTTTAGGGTTTAGGGGTTGAAAGTTTAGGGTTTGGGGGTTTAGGGTTTGGAGACTTTGGGTTTGGGATTTAAGGTTTAGGGTTTAGGTTTGAGATTTAGGATTCAGAGTTTAGGGGTTGGTGTTTAGGGTTTAAGGTTTAGGGCTTAGGGTTTGGGGCTTTGGGTTTAGAGTTGAGGGGTTAGGGGTCAGGGTTTGGGGTTCACGGGCTTAAGGTCTGGGGTTTGGGGTTCAGGGGTTTAGGGCTAAGGTTTTAGAGTACAAATTAAGAAGCCAACATATAGGTCGATAATGGATGGTATGCTGAAACCTAAGCTCACAGCATGGATTGGGGCTGAAGGTCTTGCGGTTAAAACGGAAAGCAAGTACACATGCCCATGGAAAACGACATGGAAACTGGGGTTATATGCAAACTATATAGGATGTCAAGTATTTAAAGTTACCGTAATAAGTTCCATCTAGAGGTGTTATAGGGCTTGAATTATGATCTTCGATGGGCTCCCTGGTAGAATACTAGGATATCCCCCGAAAGGATTTTTTTGCCACCCCCCCCCCCCCTCCCCCCCCCAAACTTTACACCCCAAACCCAACACCCTGAACCCCTAAACCCTAAACCCCAAGCCGATTGAAGTCCTTTACAGCAAGCCAGGTAACTACTGGGCGCTGTGTGGACTGGTGCTCTTACGTGCCAGGTCATGGAAGGGGGAAACAAGGGGGGATGCAGGGTTGAGGGTCTAGGTGACTATGCGGAATACCAGGGGTTTACAAGCTCTTTTTTTCGGTGTGGGGTCAGAGATGTATGCTGGGTTTATGAGGATGACAAAAAACCCAAACCCTAAACCCAAACCCCAAACCCTAAACCCTAACCCCTAAACCCTAAACCTCAAAACGCTAAAACCTAAACCCTAAACCTCCCTATAACTGTCCTGTGGCCAGGTGCATCTTGGCAGTACACTCCGGACTGCCACGGATGCTCGGGAAACCTACTTTGCCAATAGAAGAACTTTAACTTTTTTGTTGGCTTGCCTTATGGGTCTCTAGAATAAAGTCTAAACTTACTTCGCCAATAGAAGAAGTGTATGGTTTTTTTGGATTGCTTTTTGGTTCTCTATAGTAAAGTTTCGACTTTTTTAGCCCTGGTTATTGGAGAGCAGAGGAAATGGTCCTACCACCAACCCTGGCCCCGCAACGCTTCCGGGTGCGAACTGCGTGAACTGGTGCCAGTGGGTGCCGGCCCTCTCTTGGCAGTACACTCCTGCATGCCGCACCTGCTCCCAGGGATCTAACCACCCTGTTGTTCCCGCACCGCCGGTTGGGAATAGGACCTGCGTGAAGTGGTGCCAGTGGGTTCCCACGCTTTCTTGGCAGCACACTCCGGACTGCCGAGGGTGCTCCAGCTTCAATATCACAACACCGGCCCCAGTGGCTCCTGCAGGGAACAGCTGTGTGGGTTGGTGCAGGCGGGTTCCCACGGCCTGAACATCCCCCCATACGACCTAATATATCATCCTAGATCTCCGTTTATCATGCCTTTCGCAGGACCCACAACCCCAAAGCCCCTAAACCCCAAAACCTTAAACTTAGACCCCAAAGCCCAAAACCTCAAATCTTCTCGTTTGATTTTCCATCCGCTAAAAGGTGGGTTCCCACAGCCTCTTGGCAATATACTCCGGATTGTCACGGCTGTTCGGGACTGAAGCCAGGCGGGGGCCCAATTGAGCAGTGCTTTGGGTTTAGGGTCTAGGGTGCGCAGTTTGAGGTGTAGGGTTTAGAGTTTAGGGCTTTTCTAGCTTTATCTTGGGATACTGTAGTCCCGAATATAGACGAAGACAATATCCTTCTTTTGGGTACAATCTTTCTAGTTCTGAAGAACGCCATCTTACTTGTTTCAACCACCGAAAACAATGCTACCCAGGTGCAGGCCCGATCAACCCTGATACACCGAGCACCATCAGCTGTGCCAGCCATTGCAAGTGGCTTACCTCCTTGTTGAAAGGGTTTAGGGTTTAGGGAAAGGGCTTACCCTCTTGTGGGGAATGGAGAAATGTATCGCTATAGCAGACCCTAGAAAGCCCCCAATATCATAGCCCTTCCCAAATCCTACACCCCTCGATGGGTGGCTTCCATTTTCTTGCAACATCTAAGACTTCAAACCCTAAAGCGTAAACGTCAACATCAATAAAACGACCTAAGGGCTCACATGCGGCTTCCATCTCTCAATTCCCCTGAACTCGAAACCCTAAACTTTAAACCCTAAAGCCTGAACACCCTAAAGCCTGAACTCTAAACCCTAGGCCCTGAATCCTAAACCCTAAACTCTAAACTCTAAACCATAAACAATCAAGCCCACATCAACTTACCATTACTTAGGGTACCCAAATTCCGGTAATTTTAAAAGTTCAAAAGTTCAAAACCAAAATGACCCCCCAAACCCTAAATAATGGTACTAAACCCTAATTCCCAATCCCTAAACCCTAATCCCTAAACCCTAAACCCCTGAACCCTAATCCCTAAATCC